TGTATTTCATCTGAAATGTTTTTAATCCGAGCTCAAGTTCATCTGAATACGGTGTGGTAGAATGGTTTGGGACTTGTGCAGCAAGCTGAAGGCCTGTCAACCTTGAGGCTGACCTGACCGAAGCCATTTGTGACAGCTTCAGTGTTGCCACACTGGAGCTGAGGGATAGGGAGCAGGGAGTTGAGATAGTTGGGATTCTGTAGCCAAAACAAAATATTTTCTCTTGGCAACCAAGGACATTCTTACGCCTAGTTGGAAGAAGGCAGAGTGATGTCAGCTGGCAACCAGACAGAGCCATGATTGGACCTCTCCTCTCCTCTCAGCTGATCATCAAGAGTTTTTTTTTACTACCAGTTCTGCCAAGTTCTCGTCCCACTTTAACCAGCTGGGTCACCAGTCACTCTCCCTCAGCCCAACTCACCTCACAAGGTTGTTGTGGGAAAAATAGGAGGAGGAAGGAGCATTAGATAGGATTACAGCCTTCAGTTGTTTACAAAATAAATAAATAAAGGCAAGCTATAAAATTAAGTAAACAAGGCATTACAGGTAGTCTTCGAGTTACGAACACAACTGTGCCCAAAATTTATGTTGCTAAAAGTGAAACATTTGTTAACGGAGTTTGTCCCATTTTATGACTTTTCTTGCCACCGTTGTTAAGTGAATCACTGCATTTGCTAAGTTAGTAACATGGTTGTTACGTGGATCTAGATTCCCCATGGACTTTGCTTGTCAGAAGGTTGTAAAAGGGGATCACATGACCTTGGGACACTGCAACAGTTATAAGTGTGAGCCACTGGCCAAGTATCTGAATTTTTAATCTCATGACCATGAGGGATGCTGCAATGGTCATAAGTGTGAAAAATGGTCATAAGTCACTTTTTTTTTCAGTGCCATTGTAACTTTGAACAGTCACTAAATGAACTGTTGTACGTCGAGGGCTACCTCTATCTCAGGGGTGTCAAACTGGATTTCTTTGAAGGCCGGATCAGCATTGTAGTTCTCTGTGGGCTGGGCTGAGGGGGGACAGCGGTGAGGCCAAAATGAGGCACAGGGGGGGTTCCATGCGCAGCCCCATTGAAGCTTTTTTTTGCCCTCCTGCGTTTTCAGCCATTTTAGGCCCATTTTTCGGCCTGTTTTGGGCCCGTTTTTTGTGGTAATATATCCATCATATTCTGCAAGTTCTTGTACAGCTTTGTAAGATCTGGGGGTATCACAAACGCTCCTCATGAGGGCAGTAGTGTCTTTATGATGAGAGTTTGATCCTGTTATGATCTGCTAAAGCTCAGAGACCAGGAATCTGTGTGGGAGTTCACAGTACCTATCCGAGCCATTCCCATGAGACCTTTGGTGCCCTGCTTTCTCACGGGAACTTTATCACCTTCGCTGAGGCCTAGCTAGATAATGTTGCTGAGCTAATGTTGAAGTCATTGTTTTGATTTTGTATTTGCATTTTCTTAATAAATACTGCTACCCGAGGGCTCTCGGGGCTGGCAGTTGCTCAGACGTCTTCCCTGCGTCTCCCATCATTTTTCAATTGCCAGTCCACCACAAGTGGTGACCCCGACGTGATAGTTTGGAAGGCTATACGTTTTGGCGTGATAGCTTGAAAGCTATACGTTTCCCGCATCCTATACTCATCGTCGCGGACGTCGACTGGGCCCTCATCTTCTTCGCTGGACGGAGACAGATTCTTTTCGTGAGTATGGGGGAAGGTCTCTCGAAAGCTCAGACAAAGCACCTTAGGGAAATGAGAGAGATCGCTGGGAATAGTTTTAAGTTTGGAGTTCATAGTAGAGGACATGAAGTAGGAAAGAAAGAAATTGAGGATTTATTACAGTATGTTTGGAAACATATTCCGTGTTATCCAGAGGGAGGTAGTATTAAAGTAGAGCGCTGGAGAAAGATAGGGAAATTTTTGCACGAGGAGCCTCGTGCCCCTTCTTCAATTTTGTTAACCTGGAGGGTGGTTATGGATGCATTAGCTACGCATGAACAACCGCTCCTATCACCCCCC